TCAATGTGAGACTTCAGAAGCTTTCGCTTGCCATAGGGAGCTTGCTTTCGACTACAGCACTGCACAGGCCCGGAAAGCGCTGCTGTGGGGAGAGGTTGACTTACAAGATGATGTGTTACGTGGTCACGTAAGATGGCGTCATTTCGTGCAGCGTGATCAGGTAAGATGACGTCATTTCGTGTAACGAGATCATGTAAGATGACGTGCTTGTGTCACGTCATCACGTAAGATGACGTCAGTTCGTATGAACTGACGTCATCTTACGACAACGCCAACAACATTAGTGCCGTCCGGAACCATTGACCTTAGAAACGCGCTTCTTCGCTTGAAGAGCTGATATGCGTTGATTGTTATTTGTTTCTTTTGCCTACTACAGACCATTCAAGAACTCGCCTTCTGAGCCACCAACTTCGTCTACTGGGCTGTGAAGCGCGTTCGAGCGTGCGCAATACCTCTCTAGGCCGAAAGATTGTACACTGAGTATGCGTTCACAGCTCAATGACTTTGGCATTTTTCGTCAGGATAGATGCTCCCACGAGAAGAGCGTAATGGATATGTGAATAGAATTGGAAATTTGAAATGTTCTTGTTCAATCGCATTTTTCTTTGGTTATCAACGCTTTTTAGCGTCATCACAAGACGTTCAACCCATAATACACTGGTGATTAAAAAATAAGCACCGAAAAACATGCACCGATTTTCGCTCAAAAATAAACACCGGAAAAAAACATACCGTAATCATTACCCATGTCACCTTTTTGGGTGATATGTGAATTTCCAGAAGAACAGCGAGTTATCACCCTCCCCTAGGAATACCCTGACTACAGAGCAGGCGACCCGTTTTTCCCCGCGTTAGATTGTGGTGACCACGAACCGTACGGAGGTCACAGGACGTCCGTGAAAAATAAAAAGGAGGCAAACAACGATCTACTCTGTGCACGCTTCATCCCCAATTTCCACGACCCCAAGGCCGAAGGACGTTTGTGTGAAGGATAACGATAAAATAAAACTTTGCGTAAAAAAAAAAGCCCGTTTTTAAAAGAAAAAAAAAAGTAGAAACAAGCACAACGCGTTGACGGACCGCGAGGTTGTGGAACACCTCGCGGTCCGCTTGCCACAGGACGGTTGTCTTCGACCCATAGCTCCAAGGTGAATTTGCCACTTGCGAAAACACGGAGACCTACCCAGCGAGAACCAGGAAAGCAAGACACGCACACTGACGCCTCGGCGTGCAGAATGAAACAGGATACGGGCGCGGAATACGGCCGCGGAAGAACACCTCGCACAGTGCCGATCCGGCCGATCTCCGAACGGACGATTTCGCATGGATGGATGGATGGATGAATACGGCTGAGCCCTTTGGATCGGGCGGTAGCTTACGCCACCTAGCCATTTTGTTTTATCATTTAAGCTTAGAATATTTAAATGTGAAATCTATATTCACTCCGCAGTGCAAAGAAAGTGAGGCTATGAAACCCCCTTGCCATCAGTGATTAAGAAAATACCTAGTTTTCTCTCGATTTCTGCCACCATTCACTTAATCTTTGCTTGGTAATCTCTACAGTCTTGAAATCCACTCTCCCTTCGCTGTCTCTAAAACCCAATGACTTTATTAAATCTATGTTGTCTTCGATAGGCATAGGGTGAAGCCCTTTACAGTAGAGTATCAAGTGCTCAGCCATTTCATTTCCCATTTCGTGGACAGCGAGCGCCACCGCACGGGAGAGAGAGGTACCTTAAAAACGACGAAAACAAGCACCGACACCTTGGTTCTTTATATTTGCTGTAGTTACGGAACAAATCGACTTACATGAATAATTTGAATATTATTCGATTCCGTAATAAATTTAGAAGACATTAAGCGCAATTCTTCTTATGTTTGAATTTAGATAATTTTGTAAATTCGCTCCGAACGCAAGAGTGCCGAATTAGCCGATTTTGACCATTTTCATGATTTTTTAAAGAATATAGTTAAATTTATGACGAAACATCTGTTGCGTTTAGTGTCTCGATAATGACTCAATGACTTTAAAGCCGAAATTTTCAAGAAGATCCGCGCAGCCGTTATTATGTGAGAATTTTTTTAATTTGGTGAAAAACCTCATGTATTCTCTATGGGGCTCTGAGGTGCGCCCCCTCTTAAAGCCCCTCTATAATGAAAATACCGCCTTGCCCTCTTTCCCTCGAGAAGCTTTCGCTCTTTTCTGCTCTCCGCGAGTCTCTCCTTCTTTCATTTCGACGCTAGCGCCTCCGAGGTTGTCCTTCCGCCGAGCGCAGCGTTTAAGCGCGATCCAAACCAACGCTTCTTTTTGCGCCTGTAGGTCGTGCGGCTGCGGATGTGACGTATTTTCGTGACGTCGCGCCGCTTCTTCGCTCCTTCCGGGCGCGCACAAGAAAGTTGGACAATTTCAACTTTTTCTCAACGCGCACAAAAACGTGCGGTGACGTAGTAGGGCGCTCCTGTGTCCCGGCCAATCGGTGGAGGGCAAGCTAGTTCCGGCTCCGCGTTTCTCGCCGTCTGGGTGCCCTCTCCTCCCCCCCCTTTTATTCTCTTCCAACATGACATTGACAACTCGATCTCTCTCTCTCTTTCTCTCGCCGTCTGGCCGGCCAGTCTGTCGCAGTTGCACTTTGCTTGTGCGCTCGTGCCTGCGGGCGCGCTCGCCCGAAGTTTCGCCCGTCCAAACCAAAGCGCACGGTTCTGACTCAGAAAGCGCGCCCGGAAACAGCAAAAACGACACGAAATGCGTCATATCCGCAGCCACACGACCTACAGGCGCAAAAAGAATCGCTGGTTTGGATCGCGCTTTAAACGCCGCCGGAAAACGCGAGGCCACGGGATGGGAGGACGCAAATGGCGGACGGAAGTGGCGAACCGAAACTGGACGGACGCTGGGCCAATCAGTGGCAGTGGCAAGGGGAACTTCGAAAAAGAGGAAGAGGATTTATCTCGAGGGTGAGAGCGTGTTGGAGGATCAATCAGTGGTGCTACCTTCGTCACAACAAGTCCAATAACTACCAATAATTTATTAATTAACTTCTTAATTAGTGAAGATAAGCGCGCGGTTCCAGTGAGCAACTTGCTGAGCGTCATATCAAACCGCAAAATCAGTCAATTGGAAAATTATTTGAGACCGGTGGTAAGCGCGGGGGTGCGCTAAAGTCTCCACTCGTGTAACAGGCGCAACGCTGGCGGTTCGAAAAGGCCGATAATAATCTTTACATCCGCGTTTTCACTAATAAAAAAAAAAAAATAAAAAAAAAAATAAAAGTGAATTAATACATTATAGTTAGCTGTTGGACTTATCGTGTCGATTAGCTTATGTCCCTCTGACCATGTAACTCACCCGCAGAGACCACATTAATATAACTTTCACAACATAAAAAAATAATATATATATATATATATACATATTGAATTAAAAATTAAACATCCTGTTAGACTCTTGGAACGGAATCAACGTATTGTGATTTACTTACGTGGTTCAGCGGTAATCGCCGTAGTCACTAGGATTGCCGTTACTAAGAACTGTGTTGGGCGAAACATGATTTCGCCAAGACCTCGGGCAATTTCTTTGTTGCAGCCTACTTTGACCAGCAAAGCCTGCAGTCTCAGGAGCGACTAATGTAAAGCTGACGTTTGGCCCGCTCCTTAACGTATAAAGTATCTAGTGTCCGCGTGCGATTTTTCAAATGGAGATGCATGTCCGTTTGTCGCTTGAATGCGGGATGCGACGGGCCTATAGCCATGAGGGCCTACGTGAAAACGACCTCGTCGTACCGCGTAGTGTGGCTTCCAGAAAATACAAAACAATTGCAAAGAAACGGCGTTTTTTCTTTTTTGGGTTTCCTGGCTTTTAACGTTTGAGAGAGGAGAGAAATATTAGTTCTGCCTATCATACATAAAATGGCTGGTAGTCATTATTAACTGGCTGTAGCAATTTATGGCGAACATTCTAGATTGATAGTAAAAGATTATCAATCGAAATTGATTGTCAGAGGTATGAAAAACAACATGCCATTCCTTACTTGTGGCAGTAACTACAGAAAAGAAATTTTTGTTTTCACACTGAAACGCCAGATCCCGATGTTTTTTTTTTTTTAAACAAAGTCGTAAAGTTTGTTTATGCTACGTGTACCAGTATGCAGTTAATTGGCACTTTAGCTCATATATATGAACTGAAATAATATAAATGAGTGTTGAAAGGCCGCCTACGAATTTACTAGCTCCTTTTGCTTATGCTTTTAAGAGACCAGGTTTTCTACCAACCATCTGTTATACGTGATTGCATCATTTATGGTGCGAGATTAATTTTAGGAGGTCATGTTTATAATATACCTATTTGAAGCGTTGCTTTGTAGAAGAATTTAACATCAATGAACTGTACTTACTGCACAAGAATTAACTCGTGGAGGAAAAAAGAGGGGGTGGGATTGTGTTTTATTAAGTCATAATACTGCTTAGTTTAGTTAAATCATATCTTAACTGTACGCACACAGGTAATCAAATTGTTATTTTTATTATCAGCGACCTGTTCACATTTGCCTGGAGAACCTACAAAGAAAAAAGTGTGATATTGTGAACAGTAGACTACTTCCAAAAATCCCTGTATGCAACACTTAGCGCGCTGTATTATGGGACCTCTTAATTCGGCCATGGAGACGGGTGGCATGATTTGAATTTCGATGGCCTCGTTGACAAAGTAGTACATCTCAGCACTACATAAAAATAAAGTAGCGCTCTCTTGCATTGCACTCATTCATCTTCGTCAGAGCCACCGTTAGTTAATACGCGGATCTCCCCCGGCCGTAAGGACCCGTCTAGACTTAGCGAGGAGTAGAAATACCGCCGGCCGCGTTCCATACCTCTTTTTGGCAGCTTGGCTACGCCTCCGGAATGCAGCATGATCCTCTCGTGTCACGGATCATTTAAGAAGCCTAGAACATTGAGACGATGAAACAAACTGATCAACCCAGTAAACGTCTTCTGCCTGTGCTTACCTGCAGCGCGCAAACCACGGTCATACGACTGCTGAAATATATCGCAAAGAAATGAGGAGTAAGGCTGTGTCACTCCCTTGCCAGGCTTTAAAAAAAATATCGCTCAGGTAGAATAACATACATTTAAATGGTTTTATATTTCTTGAGAAAACGGAGCTCAAATCGCAGCCTTGTTTTCGTTTTGACTTAGTCCCGCTTGATAGAGATATTCAGGCATGAAGGCTTCGCAGATGTGCTGATTGCACTTGATAATTACCATTACATGTGCTTGAACATCATCAACAATGCTGCGATGAAAGAGTGTATTTAGAAACAAGCTTCGTGTACTGTAGTAAGCACGGGTCGCCAATAAACTGCTTTTATTTTGTATTTCATTTTTCTTCGTTCGTTTGGGGGGCAAGACAATTGGGTTAACGTCGTCATACTTCGCTCTGTGGCAAAAGAATATTAATATATTTCTCGTGTTTCTGGCTAGCCTTGTTTTATTGATCTAACTGGAGAGTAAGCAAATGAACAGTATAATGGATATTGCGAGGCAACAATGTATCCGGACCCAAGAACAGTGTGAAACGTGTTTTTCATTTTGTTCTAAGGTGTTTATTTTGATTTGCGCATCCAGGCTCTTTCATTAAGAAGTTCCACACTACGTGGTCATCCCAGCGACTTCTTTGATCCAGTCCACCTGGGTGGCTATTCTTGCGAACACGCCGGGCATCTTCTCGCCCGCGCACTTGACTCCCCAAGACGTGGCACCGGCCAGGACGTAGTGGCCGTCAGGCCTCGCACACTGCAAGGGTCCGCCGGAATCGCCCTGCAAGCGAAAACATTACAGTCAGTTAGGAAATACATGGACGAATCAATTCATCGGTCCGTAATTTTCCGGTTAATTCAACCACGCGGAGAAAGAGCGCCCCGGGACCTTGCACTTGCAGGTTGTATCTACTGCAGCGGCCCGGAGTAATAAACTAACTTAGAAGTACCCCAAATGACCTTCGCAAACCTCCGACACTGTAAAATCGTTACAAAGATGCAGCTGGGTGGTGCTTTATTTTTGTTGAAATATCGGAACATTTTTTGCCTTAATTAAAAGTAAGAAAAAAACGAAACAAAAAACATAATTGCTCTATAAACTAACGTTAAGATAAGCAATTTTTTTGCTAATATGAGAGTAAATTTTGTTGTGAGTGATTTGATAAGTATTTTAAACGAAACAAGGGTGGAAAAAAAAAATGATTCCGACGTCACTCTCGTTCCTAATTTAACCGCCCCCCCCCACCAAAAAAAAAAAAAAAAAAAGTGTGTTTTTTACTTTTAGTTTGAAAAGGCTCAAAGGCCAACAGGTAGTCAAAAGGGACAAAACTCTCCCTCAATTCCATCGTTCCATTCGAAAAAGACGAAGACCCCCCTTTTTTCTGCGGGGAGTTGCTCAGAGACTCGCTCCTGAGAGGAGAGAGAGAGAGAGAGAGAAGTGTTGAAAAGAAAGGAAGCCTGGAACTTATTAACCACACCGTCGATTGGGAGAGTGCGAGGGGTTATCATTTGAGCCCGTTCTCGTTTCGACCTTCTCACTTGGCCCTTCTCAAAACAACCATTCTCAAAAAGATCTCTCTTGGACATGTCGCATTTGGCCGTTTCCCGTTTCGCCTTTCGCATTCCAACCCTCCTCATCTGGGCCCGTTCTCGTTTCGCCCTTTTCACCTGGCATTTTTAAAAAAAGTCATTCTCAAAAATATCTCGCTTTGACCCGTCGCACTTGACTCTTTCTATACCAAAATTGTTTTTTATGGTAATATGTTGATATAATTTGTGTGTGTGTATGTGTGTGTGTGTGCCACGCTACAGGCATACTCTCTCTGCTAAGAATTTTAGCAGTGCGTCGAGGTCGTCGTGAAAAGCTACTAGCTGGCAATAAAACAGACCAACTATTTATCGCAGCCAGATCATATTCCGAAATGTCACGTTGTTTGAGGTATTTCGACTTGGGATAACGCCACCACTTCTATAATGCAGTGGTTCTCAAAAGGGGGTCTGCGAAGGCACCCTAGGGGTCTGCGAAGCCCTGTCTCATCAGTCAGGCACGGCAATATTAGTTGTCTTTCTTCCCGTTGAGAAGAAACGTTCCAATTTTCGGGAGAGTACTCTCGTGTGTATGTCAATGAGATAAGTCTACTTCACACTGGCAATTAGTTATATCCATTTATTAAATCATTATCATGATAACCTATACCTTTCTATCCCCCTCACCCCGAGCGGGGTCCTCCATCATCTCCGCCTTTCTACAAAGGGTCCGAGAAACATCAATGGTTGAGAACCACTGTTATTATGTATGCTATTTCTGTTCAAACAAAATTTCCAAATTAAATGTTTATCGCTTTTTTTTTTTCTCGTTTGCTTAGAAGAAGGGAAGCAGGCGTCAATGTACGATTCTCAGTGCGTACCTCTACACATAACATATATCTGATGGTATGTTGGGGGCCCAAGCAAGGTAAGGCTCATCAACAAAGCCGCGAAGGCACGACGTTAGAAGCATGCCGAACTAGTGTCATTCGGTCGTAGCGCGAACGGGTGAAATGAGAATGGGTCCAGTTGCGAAGAACGCGATTCGGATCAATTATGAGAAGGTTCAAACGAGAAGGACGAAATGAGAATGGGTCGAAACGTGCAAGGTTCAAATGCTAATGGGACGTTTTGAGATACACCCGAGTGCGAGAGGAAATGGAGAGCAGAAAACTGGGAACCGGTTTTCTGCCCGGCAGAAAACGATTCTGTAGGTCGGCCTTAAAGTGCATATCGAGCCATAGAAAATTGTTGCATTTTAGTTTTAAGCTTGGATTGAGGGAAGTTTGTTTCATTTATATATAAAAAAGAAAAGAAAACATGCACCGCTTGGCCGACATCGCGTGATCAGTGCTGTATTGTGAGGCTGTTGTTCACTCGCAGACTCGTACGCTCGTTCCGACGTTGACTGTGGCCCGTTCGCACTTTTGCCTCGGTAATTCACTGTGATCTGAAACTCGCCGCAGCCTCCGTTATAGAGCGGAGGAAAAAGTTGCTCCAGCTTTGCAGCATGCTTGTGCTGAAGCAAGCGCGAATGCAAGCTCGGTCGACGTGGGTGCGTCCTGTGTGGCAAAACACTGAAAGAACACAAGCGCGACGTCACCTATACATCGCACGCGATTTGCCTGAAAACTAAACTGGTATACTTGGACAGTGGGTCATTCTTTTGATTTCGCGGCCGCAACGACCTAGGCGGGGGAGGAGATGGGGTCACCGAAAACGGCTGGAATCGTGGTTCCTCCGAGGGGACACGCCATCGCGCAACAAGAACAGCTGCACTCTCCCCGAACCGTACATGGAACTTTCCGATACATGCATACATGTATGTATCGGAGAGTTCCATGTACGCTTCGGGGAGGGTGCATCTCGACACAGTTCCATCTCAACACAGTTCTATAGAACTTATGGGTTTCCCCTTTGGGGGTACCACTTAGAAACACAGAAGGTTCCTTGGGTCCGGATAATGACGTGTTTATTTCACGACAACGCCACACGCTTGCCCGAGGGCCAACAATGGTGGAGATGACGGCGCTGTCTCTTTTGACAGGATCGCCAGTCGGAGTCTGCGCTGCCGCTATTGACAGTATCACGGAGGGTGAGGATCAGATAAGAATATGAAGGCTCCGTCGAGCAGAGCCTCCCCCAGCGAGAGTCCCGCCCGTTGGGTTAGGGCCGTCTTATATAGCCTGCGGGAATGGACGCGCCCGGAGTGGGTCGGATGTAGGTTGGCTCCCCGGAGGGGCGGACGCGTCCAAGTCATGATCCCGAGGGGTGTGACTTCGGCAAATCACCGAAGAAGGGCGAGGGAAAGCCGTCCACCAGGGAATACGGCTTCGCCCTCGCATCCGGGACTCGCCCCCACATGGCGACGTCCCACGGCCTGCCTGAGCTAGGCCTAGATAGGACACGTGGTTCCCAAAAACTGCAAAGGTCCATCTCGACACAGTTAACTGTGTCGAGATGGACCTTTGCATTGCTGCTATACTTACTGAAGATGTCTCCAGCATGAGAGGAAAAAAGTTTAATGAAATGTTTTTTAGTGTTATGGTGAAGTGGGTGTCTTTATTTCAATTATGACGTCTCTCAGCTTTTAAAGTATTTTTGCAAAAAAGAAAAAAAAAGTAAGTAAATACTACACTGAATGCAGTCTTGTCCACCACGATGCCCAACAACGTACTGCGAACAGGCACAGCTAGCACAGCCGTAATGACCGCGCACAGCGCGAAAAGCGGCTCATTGAGTATAGCAGACACCTACTGCCGGCGCCAGGCGTGCGCCTTTTCTGGGCCGTTGACAAACTGGCGCGTTGACGAAACCGAGCGCGCACGCGTCCGAAATGACGCCGCGTTGACGTCGACGCGCGCAAATCGTAAAAAAAGGAAAAGAAACGTTTAAAATTTTTGTAATGCCGAATTAGAGCGCAGCTCTTCCTTCTTCTCTTCCCTTTCCCCTCCTCCTTTCACTCTCCGCTCCCTCCTCCCTCGTGAGGTCTCTCGTGAACCACGTGACGTCACTCGTGACGTCACTCGTGAAGGCCTGACCTTCACTGGTGACCCTAGTGACCCTCGTGACTGTAACTTGTGACGTCATTGTCGTTTTTTGGCGCTGTATTTACTGACGTCATTATGACTCGTGACGTCATTCTGGGAAACGTCCGATAATGCAACGCGCGGTTACGCCGACGCCGACGCCGCTCAAGCCGGAAACAGGCGCCTAAGAGCTGCGCTCTAAAACACGCTCTATGCGGGTCGGGCTCATTACGGTGAAGCCGGGTATTCGTGACTCCAATGGTGTGTATTCAGGGTCCTTCGTTATCGGGCTTTATTTTTGTCACCGGCCATTTTCACGTTTGTCCTCAAAACCATTGGAACAAGATGGCATAGTCTACGTCTTATCTTGTTCCAGTGGTTGTGCCCCCATAGTCCTACGTGTGTCCTCGTTTAGGATTCCCTTAATTTTTTTGTGCCCCTGTTTAGGGGTTCAAGACTCCCAAAGTCTTCAATGATTTTTTTCTGTTTTTGCGGAGCACATTCTAGTCCAAAACAATAAAAAAAATAATGCAATGACGTAAAAATTTTGCTTGTTCCGGAAGTAACGTTGTAAACGTAAAAAAAAAAAAAAAAAAAAAAAAAAACAAACAAACAGCTTGAATACTCGGATACGAAGGACCCTATGTTTTTAATTTTCGTACCTCCGTTTCACATCCTCATCACCAGACCGCGGAAGATTTCGCTGCACATTTCGATATGCGCGAGCTTCCCGTTTCTAATTCTTTTCCGCTGAGTTCAATAGCTGTCCCTTCGAACGCCTCACCACTTGGAGATTATTGAGAAGAAGAAACACTAAATCACTCGCCTGACAAACTCCCTTGCCGCCTTCGGCAGGACCTGCGCAAATCATGGTGTTGTCGTACACTTCGTTGATGCCCTCGTAGTATTCCTTGCACACGCTGTGGTCTACGATCGGCAGGTCGGCTTTCTGGAGCTTGGCAGGCAGGGTCGTACCTCCCTCGCTGCCTGCTCACGAGAGGTAATACCCCACGTATTGGACCGACGTAAAAGTCGTTCACAGAGAAAACAAAGACCGATTGAGACATTTGATTGTTCCCTAGCGAAAATGAGCGACGTGGTTGAAATCCGGCTATACCAGTTTTAGATGGATGCAGTAAAATGGATAGGTGGGCTAGTTGAAAGCGCCTAAAAAACGAGGACACGAGGAATAAGAGACGAAACCAAGCGTAACTTACAACTGAACGTTTATTGAAACACGTACTTACTATTTGTACACAAAAACTCGGGCTCCCGACGAATAAAATATTTGAAAAACTCAAAAACAAAACTGACAGAGAATTGTTTGAGGCCGACTGCGTAAAAGTAAAAGGCGAGGATAGCTGCGTAGGTGCACCCTCAGTGCACTTAACTGGGCAAGGGTTTGTCTTTTTGTGGTCGGGAGCCCGGATTTGTGTACAAATAGTGTGTTTCAGTAAAGGTTCAGTTGTAAGTTAGCGCTTGGTCTCGTCTTTTCCTCCTCGTGTCCTTGTCTTTTAGGCGCTTTACAAGTTAGATGGATGGATGCGGATGGCTGTATCCTTTATAATGGGCGGTATAGCTCGCGCCACCTAGAGGTACTTTTTGCCAGGTTTCTCAGTCCTTCCGAGTCCTTCTGATAAATGGAGTAAAGAAAACAAAAACGATAAGCATTTTTGAATATAAACAGGATGTTGATAGTTACTGCACCTACTTCCCCACATAATTACCGCACAAATTTAGGCAGTTAAAATGCATGGCGCCATCTTTTGTTACTTTGACCCAAAAGAAAATAGTTTCCATCCGGGCACTCGTTGAACTATCAAGAGTTCAACAAGACTGTCATTCACCAAAGACGTTCTTTCCTAAGGCTGCAGAACCGTTCGTTGAACGACAATTCGTTACACGTCAACTTGCAGCAGGGCTATTCGTCACATAGGGAAATTCGTCATAGGGCGGTTCGAATTCGCCGAACTCTTAACATATTTCTTATTTTTTTAGCATTTATAATGTTTATCGAGCATAGTTATTTCAAGAGAGTACAATTACCAGCGACCCGCTTCCTTGATTTCATTATATTTTCCTCAACACAAGAATCAGACTTTTACTAATGTTAAATAGACACCGACTGATCATGTCTTGTCCACCAGAATCTTGGCAGTTCTCTGTCACTAAGAAAAAAAAAAAAAGAATGACAAGCGTTTCGATCAGCATGCGCAGACTGTGTCTGTGTCGCGCACGTGGATGAGCTACATTATTTCCGTGTCGCGCATTCTCAGTCTGTGTCAGTGTCGTACATGCACAGTCTCTCTGTGTCAAGCACGTGGACGAGTTAGATTCTTTCCGTGTCGCGCAGATGCCATATGTGTCGCGCATCCGCAGTAGGTGTGTCGCGCTCCTGAAAGTTTTATATTCTACGCTTCCAAGATTAACTAAAACGTTTACCAACCTAAAAAAAAAAAGACTAAACACTTTAAAGAGTGCATCACACAGAAGTTGAGTAACAAAAGCGATCAAGCGGCTAAAAAAAAAAAAAAAGCTAGTATGTGGGCAACAACATCTTCAAATATTATTTCAGGTTTTTCGAGTGGTTGTCCCAGTGACGAATTGCCCTATGACGAATAGTCCTATATGACAAATAGCCCTGCTACGAGTTACTCCATTAACGAACGGCCCGTACCCCCTTTCCTAAACCCCATCATCTAGGACGTCAGTCCGTCCTTTCCAATGTCTCGTGCGGTTTCCTTGATACACATTACATGTTCGTGGCGAGTCTTGCTGACGCACGATGGACCGACTGAGAACACCAGCGGCAACTCTCTTTGTGGAGGGCATCCGAAAGCCTGTGTCGCATCATATTCGCTGCCTAAATCGTTGCGGTGTTTGCGTAAAGAAGTATTTAGAGTATGTATCTACATCCCGTGTATATGTACAAACAAAATGTTTGATAATTTTTGTTCTTTTTTATTCAGCTCATTGGAACTTAAAAATAAAAACACTCCTCGTATCTTCCGTTTATCGCCATTTGATAGTTTAAACAACGAGTTTTACTAATACCGAGAAATCGATATATACTGTTGTTTGACAGTAGACACGTTAAAGTATTTCAGGGTGTGCATCGACGATGCTTCAAATAACTTCAGAAGCTAAAAAAAATTACAACTCGTCAAAAGAGAAAGAACGGAGCTGTGATGACGAATATGCAACGTGGAACAACAACGACTACGAAATAATCAAAGAAAACAAAAAAGATTACGCTGCCCTGTTTTAGGTTATCGGAAATGCACTCTCATGCACGAGTAACACGTTGGATTCAGACTGAAAGGGTACAAGGCGACATGGGATGGTATTAGTGGAAGGTAGGAAGAAAAGATGGTTATAACATAGATGCTTTTTTCTAAATACTAATAAAGTCACGTTTTTCTACATCTGATACAGTTGATATTTTCTGTAATGAGAATTACACCAACACGAAACCTGAAAGGTTAAGCATGTTAAACGTTTAAAGGAATTATTGTATGTGAACTCTATCAGCAGAAAAATGTCAGAACCTACTAGACGTATCTTGAAAGACCACTCGACAAGCCATAACTGTCATCGCGCGAATGCTACACCTTCTGATCAAACGTTGAATTGTAATTTGGCGCTCTTTGTTTGGTGGCTGAAGTCAGACCAATACAAAATGCGTAAAACACAGTACTATGTGAGTTAAAGGAGATCAAATGAGTCCACTAACGGTCTTTGGTTAGTCCCCACCCGCTGGCGGTGCAAGTCTTCCCTTCGAAGCTCTGGTCCTTCTCAGGTAAGCAGATGGGCATCAGGTGCTTGTGCTTATCGGTGAAGTCCAGCGGAGTCTTCAGCTTCAAGACGGCGTAGTCGTAGTTCAGTGCATCCCTGTCCCAATCTGGATGTTTTGTGATCTGCGAGAAAGAAGAATATAAAAGGAACTCTTAGTGGTTGAGTCTCAATGTCTGCGTCATCGGAGTGCGTTATGTTTGAACTCCCGAGAAAGTGTAAACCCCATGACCTCAAGTCCTCCAGTATAGTTGGGTGGCTTCGTTCGAATTCGGTCGGACCTGTCGAATTCAAACGAGGAAAGGAAAAAAAAAATCTTTACATACAAAAATGTTGCATGTTGTAGTTCTATCCCTTCAATGGAGGAAACTGTCCTTTGAAATCATTAAAACAAAACAATTTTACAAAAAAAAATAAAAAAATAAAATCGAGGTGCCAGAAGGTGAAATTTGTCGAGACTAAATTTGATTTGTCCTCAACTCTGAACGTTGTTTCGAGACTATTGCCTTACCTGAAGCGGCTAATATATTTTTACGCTGCAGGAAATGTTACGAACCATTTTGTAAATAAAAGAGTAGTTTTGAGGGCTTTATATTATTTTTCATATAAAAAAAGTGGAAGCCGTTTACAACTCCCTGTAACGCCGAATTCGAGCGCAGATTTTGAGGAGGGGTAGGGAAGGGTACATGAGAGGGGGGGGGGGTCACGTGACCTCAGGGAGGTGGGTCACGTGACCTGGAGGGTGTCACGTGACCTCAGGAAAGGGGGGGGGGGGGTCCCGTGACCCCCCAGTTCACGTGACCCCCCAGAGAAATTTTTCCGCTTGATTTAGCGAGGAAATATTTCCGCTAGATTTAGCGGGGAAATTTTCCGCTACATTTAGCGGAAAAAATTTTCCGCTAGGTCTAGCGGGGAAAATTTTCCGCTAAATTTAGCGGGGAGATTTTGCCGCTAAATTTAGCGGGGAGATTTTTCCACTAGATTTTGGCGGGGAAATTTTTTCGGTAGTTCTAGCGGGGAAATTTTTCGCTAGCGGGAAAAATTTTCCGCCAGATTTAGCGGGGAAAGTTTTCCGATAGATTTAGCGGGGAAAGTTTTCCGCTAGATTTAGCGGGGAAAAGTTTCCGCTAGATTTAGCGGGGAAATTTTTCCGCTAGATTTAGCGGGGAGATTTTGCCGCTAAATTTAGCGGGGAAATTTACCCATAATGCACCGCGCGGTTACGCCGACGGCGACGCGACGTCAGCGCCGACGGCGACGCCAACGCCGCTCAAGCCGGAAACGGGCGCCTGAAAGGCCCATACGCACATTCGCGTTTGAGCGCGGTGCGTTCCGTAGCGGCAAGCGGACGCGTTGCGTTGCGAAGAGCGCTTGCGCCAAACGTGTACGCACAGTTGTGTTGACACGCAGTCAACCGCAGTCAAGAGCCAATAAGAACGTGCTATCGTCGCTAGTGGCTCACCAATAGTAAACGAAATCCAAGGCAACATGGCGGCGCACAGCGACAGCGTCGAACTGTTCGATCTTGGTACAATCTCGCCGGCTTCCCCGACGTTTTGTCAAGCTTGAACCATCGCAGCCTTGGAAAATACAGTCGCCACCGCTCCCCAAAACGAAAAAGCAAGTTCTGCGGGCGGAGAACCGGATACGTCTCGCCGAGTCGGCCGGGTGGGGCGAGCGAACACGTCACCCCCTCTCCTCTTTCGGCTCCTGATTGGTCGAACGCACCGCAACGCTTCGGAAAGTTGAACAAGTCTCTACTCGCTTGCGACGCGCTACGGAGCGTTGCGGGTAGGCGCGCGTCGCACCGCAAGCGACCGCTCCTGGGCGCAAGGACGCCGCAACGCACTCAAACGCGTTCAAACGCGAATGTGCGTATGGGCCTTGAGAGCTGTGCTCTCTACCTGGGGCAATTTTGCCTCCAATTTGAAATGCTCCTGTAAGCGATCCGTTAAAGATTATAGGGAGTTTTCGTGGACCGCGTTTCCCCCTCCACTAAGCCCTCCGCAACGAAAAAGCAGCTACTGCGCCAGCGCCGATGAATTTGACTGTAGAGTTCCGGGTACTGTAGCGGGTTGCGGAGTGCGTTGCGGGACAGCGGACAGAGGTAGACTGCAGGTAGAACTTTAGGAGTTTCAAATCCCACGGCTATGATTGGCCGGCGCCAAGGCCATATGCGGCGGTGGCCAATCACGACCGCTGGATTTCTCGCCGACCTTTTCACCAAGTATCCAAAGTAGGGCCCCAGAACTGCTTTCGGCGCACCGGTGAGCAAATTTCAGTGTGGACGGTGTGTGACCCATCTTCAAGCTCTCCGCCAAGCTTCGTCGAAGAACATAAAGTAGTAGAAGGCATTAACAAAGAAATATCTGCTGCAGGCCTTGATACAACTCTCTTACGCATGCCGTCTGACGCAAAACCCAAAGAGCCGTCACATGCGCTGCAAGAAAACAGCGGGAAATTGAATGGTCTTACAGAGAACATGTACGTAAAAGTTGGCTACAGCATATAGCCTGGCAACGGTGTGACAAGTGTTGGCCGAAAGTGAGAAAAGCCTTTGTCAAGGCACTGCAGGAGAGATGTCAGCTGCTCACGCTTGTGCCTCAAGTGCAGCCTTTAAAGAGGTCGCACGTTTAGTTCCTGAGGCATTGAGCTATTTACGGAAAAGGTCCAAGTGATTTTATGAACGTTTTGGCGTATAGGAGCGTCTGGAGCCATACCAAGGCGCTAAGGTAATTGAGGACATCGCGCAGTCAGCGACCGGATTTTACACCGTTGATGATATTGACTTTTTCCGGCAGAGCTCCAACAAGAAGGAAGCGTGTGAAAGTTGGGGAACACCAGGTCGTCGTAAAACATTACATGACGAGTTTTATACCGAAAACTTTTTAAGTCCTAATTTGCTGGCCAGCTGGACTTTCTTGACCAGCTGGTAGCCTACCAGCTGATCAAGAAAGTCAAGCTGGCCAGCAAATTAGGACTTACCAAGTTTCATTTGCGGCGACCAAAATGGGTTAAGCTATAAACCCCGACCACACCGCTTGTACATGCGTATACTGCACAAATTTTGATTTGTGCTTATCTGCCCCAAACAACGGGAGGAAAACAATAAGAGAGGAGGAGATTGTCGCTTCGTGCCTTTGCCCTGACTACACGACCGGTTGTTTACGAGGCGAATGCAAAGAGTGCCCTATCATTGATCGACTCTCCTCACAAGCATTACAACTTGTTCCAGATGAGGAAATTACATTTTGCACGTGGGAGAACGGCAATTTGGTGAAGAAGACTTGAACGCCTTTCTGAAAGAGCTGCATCAATGGACCACAAAATTTTTCACTGACGATTTCATCCGTAGATCAACGAGCTATCTGAATCAAAAAGAGCAAGGTGACCAATATACATAATGTCATGCATTTCGATTTTTCGTAAAACTGGACAATGATCCTGCCACGTGAAGTACAGAAGCATCACTGGCACAAGCATACGATCTCTGTGTTCATATGTGTTGCGTCAACCTCGCGAGGTCCCAAATGTTTCGGTTTCGTTTGTGAAGGCCTGTGCCTTGGCACTCTCCACGCAGTACTGGCTCTGAGATGCTTCGAAGACTGGGTGGAGGGATACATTCCAGTTTACGCGTCCCTAACGTATATTTGTGACGGAGCGCTTGCTCATTATAAGAACAGATTTCAGCTCGAGTTCGAACGCCAGTTAGTTTTCCGAAGGTGTAGTGGATTTTTTTCTGCCAAGGGACACGGCAAGAACGCCTATGATGTAGTTGGGGGGGCTCCTGAAGCATCAGGCAATGGTGCGCAACCTCGGCTCACCCGCGTATGCGGCCATACGAACATCAATGGACTTGATGAACAAGTTGGTAAAGTGTCCGAAAAACGTGGCTGTCCTGAATTTGTAAAAGAGGATGCAAGTGAATTACGCAAAACCAAAGGAGCTGAATGGGGGTTTGTACCGGTTTAGAAAGGCACCCGCCTCTCACACGTGTGTCTTCGGCGAACTATGTATTCGGTATTTTAGTGCATATTTGGATGTCTCGCAAGTTAAAGCGAACAAAAATGTAATTTTGTAAACAATCTAGGCAAATGACAGACTCTTTCATAAAAGCCTCTGCGTGAACACACGGGGGAATGTTGTGGATTTTTATCTAGGTTTTTTTGTGTGTGTATTTTATTAACGCGGATACATTACTCGTTAAATAAATCTTGTATGATATGAAACCAGCGGGAGTTTTAGCATTTTTTCAGTGTTCTGTTCTGTTGACATAAATAAGGCCGGGTTGAAATAGATTGCGTGACGAGACGACGAGTCTTTTAGTGGCGTACACTTCGGCTACATCAGGTGGGAATGCGTGTTGGGTTTGGCCAACTATGGCTATGTTTTAAGTGTGTCGTAGGTGGCGCTAGGTACGCGCTATATATAACAGTCAGCTCAACTATGTCTGATTTACGCAAGCTTATAAACAAAACAAAAAATGCTCTACATAGTTCAAACAGTCCAAGTTCGTGCACAAAGTAGTCCACGTGCGTTCATTCCTGGAAAACACAAGTCTCACACCACCACATATATATTGTTACACTTCTGCATATGGCATGAAGATAGGCACCAAGCTGCGTTATGAATGATCCTCTGGCGTTTATTTTGCGCTGGGCGATTGTTCTGCGCCGGCGATTGTTAAGATAAGAACACTTGCCTGCCAGAGCTTGAAACATTATGTTTGGCTCGCCTGGCTCTCAGCTGCAGGTGGCATTACTGCTAACATGAATGGTTTATTTTTGTCCTTTGTAACGTCTCTCGGATATTTCAGGAGTTGCTCTCAGCATGTATAAGAGATATAAATCATGGTGGAGTTGCCTAGAAAAAGGCCTAACATTCTCTTATTTAACTGGGATTACCGCAATGCAAGAAATGATATTAATGAAAGACTTTATCAAGTATTTCTAGGCCTTATGGGCTAACAAATGAAAAAAAACGTTTTTTGTTTAGAAAGTCGAGTTAGATATAACTTTTTCGTAAACAATACCCATCCAAAAGTTACTCCTCTAGGTATTTTACGAATATAGGTATAAACTGATAGTGGTTTCATGTCATTAACGGTCCCCTTACTGGAGCAATTCAAACTTGAGACAAAATTTCTCAAAATAGCAAGTCCGTTAATTTATACAAAATAACTCTGCAACCCTAGAAATCCCTCTGTTTTATCGATAAAACTTGTCCGCGACATTCCCTGCAGCGTAAAAATAAATATATTAACTGCTTGAGTAAAGCCAATAATCTTGAAACGAAGTGACAAAAGGTAACGACGACGTTATCTTTTGTCACTTCGGATATTTTTGTTTTGTAAAATTGTAAAATTTGGTTAGTGTTGCGATGATGTGAGGAACAAAAAGCTACGGCAAACAAAAATCTTTTTTTTTTTTTGCATTCCTGGCTTTTTAAAGTGGCCTTCTACGCCCACAACATGTAAGACCCTCTGACATACGAATGCCCACCAACTTCACATAAATACTTTTTTTTTTTCTAGCGGTGGTAAATACGCCAGCATTCAGAGGTACTGTAGACTGCAGTTACGTGTTGGAATCTACGGCTTCGTACCTAGATGATCATGGATCGCAAAATTTTCCAGCGTTCAGCCAGGAATGCCATTTTTTAATCGTCCCGAAATGATTATAACACTTTTAATAAAGGCCTCAGTTAGTTTTTTTTCTTCCATAAATGGCTTGTCTGTGAAGTCATCAAACCATGCTCGTGGTTATTCCTATTTGTTTTTGCAACTTCGACGGTGCGCAATATACGCTGCAAAAGGTAAGTACACGCGGAACACCAAGGTCCACGCTGACGCCACACCGCTGATGTGGCGTCAGGGGTAAAGTCCCTTGATAAAATTCACGCTTACAACTACCGCAAACCATTGTTGTGGAAACGCGCAAGACACGTGACACGAGCGGGTGCTTTGACGCCATTCGCTTCCAAAGTCCGCTTATTGAATACCACGAACACCAAGCCAGCTTCCTCTTCTAAACGTCATCACTAGTAGATCCCTTCAGCGCTTCCTAGCTAGCCCAGACGAGCACCATCGTCTGCTAAATTGTCTGCGACATTGTCTGCTTCAGTTGATTTTGTATCAGATAATGAAACAGATGCTCATGCCGAGTGTATGTTGCTATAGCATACGATGAAGTTAAACGTTCACGTGGAGCGTCGAATGAATGAGTGAAAATGCCTAACTGATGTTGTTAAGGTCTGCCAAGCCCTTCGCTGGACGCTGGACGCTGGCACTGGACGCCATTTTTGAAGGCGCTGTTTATACTCCGGTCACTCTTAGGCAGAGAACGCAGCTAACGCCACAAGCGCAAGAGCTGGAGGTCGCTGCTTTGAAGCGTTTTTCCCCAGAATGAGCGCGCGCGCTAGAAATGCATGTGTCGAAGCCAGGAGCGCGTGCTAGCTCGCGTTCCTGGCCGAGGGGGTGTTCGCATGCACGTTGCAAATGAAGTGGTTGCTCAGCAGTCCCGCACACAGCTGTGGCCGCCAGTGAATGCTACGCAGTTGTGACGCGGCCCATACTCTCGTCAAGCAATGTTGGCCGCTTGGAGCGGATCGGAAACTACTGACGAAACGTCATGCGCAGGCCTTGTCTTCTAGGTGGTATTGGCTTATTTCAGTGCTGAACCGAACGAGGTGGTTGAACCGCCATTTGCTTCCAAGGGCTGCTCGAGACGCGGGCCTCGTGTACTGGCGGATTTGACGCTTCTTAAAAGACAAACGCAAACACATCGAGGGGCTTTAGTCAGTGGAAGCTAGGGGGATCGGTGGTCGAGTGGGCTAGCCGGGCTAGCGCGATTTGAACCCGGAACTTCCACGCCGCGACGACAAGTACCGACGCTTTAACCTCTCGACCACGGCAGAAGGCGCGAGGCACCGGCGCCGGTGGAGATATATAAATATACTGCCACCGCTTTATCTCGCGTGGTTTTTTTCTTCATTTTGGCTCATATTTACCCTCCCTGGCCGTAACTTTACCTGCTGCTCCTACAGTAGAAAGGGGCGCTCAATTGGACTCCAGTTGAAAGTCCCTGCAGTCAGTTTCTGCGAGCGAAATTAGGCTTTTGTGCTTGAAGTAATACGGATTTCTCCGCCATTAGGCAGGGACGCTAGGTACTTCCTTGTCCCCATGGAGCTGGTCACGTGACGTAAAAATCCCTCTTGGCCGCAGCCGCGGCCGCGGCCGCAAGATGAGCAAACCGGCCCAGGGATCCTGGGTTCAATCCCCACCCCTGCTCGTTTCGATCTGGATGAACATTGTACCGGCGTGCGGTCGTGCATCACTATTGCGTGGTGCACGTTAAAGACACCAGGCTTGCGGTTGTACTGCGCTGGCTAAATTGCTCATCTACAGCGAGTGACTCGCCGTATCTTTTAATGGCTGACCAACTACATGCTGTATAAATATCCACACAACCCCAATTAATATCATTATCAGTGGAAGCTATGCATTCCCGCAGGTCTCATATTACAAGTGAAAACCCAGTGACTTGTCCAAATATCGACGGATGAATTCGTTCACCCCGTAAAGGTCAATAGCATGCCACCGTACTCTCTGAAATTATACGGCGACCAAGTGCCCCAAAATGCGTCTTCGTGGATTGGAACGGAAGGAGGGCACGCCAATTAAGGGGCAGCAAAAAGAAATTGCAGGGAATGTGCGATGGTGAAGCAGCCTAGTATGTCCCATCATTGGTTAAAGATGGGGAAGAAACAAAAGAACTTTGGCTCATCCGAATGGTAAACGAGTGTACGAGGAGTGCCAATATCTGACGCGAACTTGAACGCCGTATATAGCCTGCTTTGAAGGCAGTACGAGATTGCCAACTTACCTGTTCCACTTCAAAGCCGTCCTCGGTGTCGTCTTTTGCATTGATGTTCTGGTCGCCGACCATCACTTTGTAATTTGATGGGAACGTGAAGAGCCTGCAATGCCGTTAGGTGTGCACTGTGACGATTGCGTTTGCTTCCGCGATATCGCGGCCGTGGAGAACGAGACAGCCTTGACCTAAAAGAGGGAGCAACTGAAACCATAAATAGTATTTGAATTTCATGGCAGACGCCATGCTGCGCGCGTTCTCCCAATCTGCTGCGAAAATTGGGTGCACGTGCGCATCCGTTCGTTGTCGGATGGCGAGGAGGAAAAAGGGGGGGGGGATGTTGAAGGACAAGGACGCTTGCAGGCGATAGACGTCTTTGAATCACGTGGCACGGCTCGAGCAGTTGGGGTCACTCTGTAACACTGGCCCGCTTTGGAAAGCACGGGAATATCAAGTGGACCGAAACGATGGCACGCGGTCAAACCGTGCACATACGCAATGCAAGACCATGCAATAAACAATTGCAAGCATGGCGCCTCACTGATGACCCATGCTTGCAGCAACGTGCACGTAAACGCTGCTTTGACAAGCTTGCAATCGCACGTACTTGCTCGCACAAAGCAGAGACGGGGCGGCGGCAGAGGCCGTGCTTGCAATCGTCTATAGGTATATACAATGATTGCAATAAAGAAGAATGTTCGCGATCCATCTAACTGTACCTAAATCCCGCAAAGTCGCCCAACCTCTACTCCTGTGGGGAACCCGATTGCGTAGGGAACGATGCATTGGATAGGCCAAATTTACACCCACCTCTTAGTTTTGTAACTGCGATACTAGAATGTAACTGTTTATTGTAATAGTAAAGCATTCAAAATACTTTAAATCGGCAAGACGAAAGATTGTCATTGATTATTTGCCACGCTTGGTTGCTCCGGCAGACGAGCATGGTGAGATAAATGACTGAGACAACACCGCCTAGAAAAATGAAAGCCATTCACCAGAAGAAATGGTTTGTGTGTATGTTCATACAGCCTGAAGTTAGTGTGCCTCAACTGGCGACTTGTCTCTGAGCTGTGCATGACCACATTAGCCAGTGCAGTGCAACCGCCAGCCTGGGGTCTTTAACTTGCACCACGCAGAACTGATGCGCGACCGCATGCCGCAACGATGAACATCCAAATTGAAACGGGCAGGTGTTTGGATAGGCCATATGCACAATTCCTGCCAGCTATTATTATCATGAAATATGAGCAGCCATTTTTTTTTACATTTTTACGTTTTCCAGTTGCGGACGACGCGCATCTGCATTTAACTTGGTTTTCATTATTCTAGGATAATTTATTTGTGCACTCGACGGGTTGCTGTTTAGTTTTGGTTCAAAGAAGGAGACTGCCTTGAAAGTTTGGAAAATGAACTGTCAGCAACGAGGTCGCAAGACTCGTCACTCAACAATGTACTGGGAAATCCAGGTCAGTGAACGGTCTTTATCGAAGACGTTTTGTGGAGGGTTCGTACTGGACTTGCAGCGGGTGATCATATTTTAGTTCTACAACTCCCACTTTGCCGGGTCCATTATATCTCGCGCGAAACTTACGGTACGGGAACTCTCCAATATGGAGTAAATTTGATAATTGATCATGAGTACACTAGCTAGCGCTTCTTGAACCCAGTGTCCGTGGGTTCTGCAGTGCGAGACTTTGCTGCACGTGCTCCCAGCTGGTGAGGGCTAGCCTAAACACTCTAAAAAAGGGTGTATTGGTACACCCTTTGTCCCATATAATACACCCCAAAACTTCAGTTCGACGTAAAGCGCCCTATAGACGAACAGACGGCCCCAAATTTTACGAGGGGCTTAATAGCCGTGTGGTACAACTTAATAAAATAGCTAATATACGTGTTACTCACTACAAACAAAAATCATCGGGGTTTTCTTGGCCCTACTGTAAAAACTCAGTGTTTTCTTTCTGTGGTCTTTGATACGTACTTTAGTTATTTAGTAAGTTGTACCACACGGCTATCCGGCCCCTCGTAAAATTTGGGGCCGTCTGTTCGAATATAGGGCGCTGTACGGTCGAAATGAAGTTTGGGGGTGCGTCACATGAGACAAAAGGGTGTAAGGTGATACCCTTTTTGTTTTTTAGAGTGAAGGACTAGCCCACTGGGCCACCAATCTTCTTGCCATACATTAGCATTTCGACGTCACCTCAGTGAGATGACATCGAAATGATGATAATGAGAGGACTTTGAGAGTACAGTGAACTAGAATATAGGGGCAGTGGAAAAAGCGTCTGCGGCGCCCCATCGGCCGTTTGAAACCAGAAGTGTAGACCGCCGCGAGTGGCGCTGTTGTCGAAATCCGGAAGACATGCATGGCTACTGTAACATGGGATATAGCGTCGCGTACGTTCTCAGACAGTTTCTGTGGTGTCTATGATCGTTTTCTTAATTTGTTTTCGTGAATGTCAGGTGCTTGGCATTGTGATTACATAGGTTCGAGTCTTGTCGCTAAGCAATGAAAACGAAGAGAAAGAAGACAAATGCGCACCGCTACGCGCCAGCATGCAAGACTGGTTACCCGGTTTTCACTACATTGTGGAAGTAAGCTTTAGACATTAATTCATAGACGTTGAAACACCCATAAAGCATGCATAGGCCACACTAATGAACCGCTAACATAAAGAACAGCTACGCTTGGCGCGAACTTCGCTGGCAGGAGTGCTCCGGAATGGAACACAAGCGCTACCTGGTAAATTCTACACGAAGCGCCTCACCTGGAGGCCGGCTATTTTTCCACTACTACTATTTTAGTTCACTGTATTGAAAGGATGATGAAATGATGGTGATGACGGTAATGATGATGAGATGATGAAATGTGGATGATGAGATGACGAAACGAGATGACGTCGAAATGATGAAATAATAAGATGACTTTGAAATGGCTGACCAACTACACGCTGTATAAATATCTACACAACCCCAATTATTATTATCTCAGTGAGATCGAGCGTAAACACGGATTGGACACGAATGTTGCGTCAGAAATCGGCTGGGCCTCGTGTTCAATCAACGCGCCAGAGGACGCTCAGCGCCGGGCTTAGATCCAGTTCCTGAGTTGGCGGCATCCAAATGTGACGACGTTGCTTGGGGGTAGAGAAGGAACATAGATTATATGTGGTGTTGGCTGAGAGCGATTCGGGAATGTAGGCTGCTGTCCCTTGCTGTTTCCCTGATATCACAGAGTTTTTTTCCTTCTGATACCTAATCAATACAACGATGATGACATAGAGCGTATCAGCCATTGCTATATACCCTGTTGCAGGTTAACGAAAGCAGGATACGCTCCTCCCACGAAGCCCTCCATTCTCTCCCCTTTAGCGAAGTGAACACTGGAGAGGCGTGAGTCCCTTCGACTCCTCTCACTTTCTTTCCAGCGTTCGCTCTCCTACGCGGCAAGAGTTCTGGACATCGCGGAAGGAGCTTGCCCTGCTCTTTTTAACCTGCAACAGGGTATAAAACGTTATGTCTGACATACTGTCTGCCATCATTTTTAGCACAAAAGGACCGACTGTAGAGGCGGCCTAGGCAGCGACCAGCCGAGTCGGAGTTACATTGCAAACTATTTAATTTTCGAAGCAGGAAAAGAGAAGAAGCAAACAACGAAGGAGCAAAGGGCGCGCTCTTGGCGCGTGCCGCTCGGCAGCGCCGCAGGTGTTTAGAGGACGATATTACAGATGCCTAGCATAGAAAGGACAACATGAAGAAGAAAAGGAAGTTAAATCGAAACTAAACTGAACTTAACATTTTCCCCTCCCTCCTTTTTTCTTTTTAAGAGGGTAGATACAAGAAACAAAGAAGGAGAGAGAGAGAAAGAGAGAGAGAAAGAGAAAAAGAGAGAGAGCAGTGAGAACATTGCAAAAAAAAATGAAAGCCGTTTACAACTCTCTGTAACGCCGAATTAGAGCGCAGCTCTTGAGGAGGAGGAGGGAAGGGTACTGGGGGGTGGGTCAAGTGACCTCGGGGGGCGGGGGGGTCACGTGACCTTGTGGGAGTCACGTGACCTTGGGGCGTCACGTGACGTCGGGGGGTCACGTGACCTGGGGCCACGTGACGATATCGATGACGTCATCAGTAGCGTCACTGATGACGCCATCAGTGATGATGATGACGATGCGGATGCCGGTGACGTCATCAGTGACGTCACTAATGACGTCATCAGTGATGATGACGATGACGATGCGGATGACGGTGACGTCATCAGTGACGTCACTGACGACGTCATCAGTGCCTATGACGTCAACGGGGGGTCACGTGACCTCGGGGGTATCCCCAGGTCACGTGACCCCAGGGGGGGTCACGACCTGGGTAACCATCGTGACCCTCGTGAGGGTAACCCTAGTAACCCTTGTGAGGGCAACTCTCGTGACCCTCGTGAGGGTAACTCTCGTGACCCTCGTAAGGGTAACTCTCATAACCCTCGTTACCCTCGTGAGGGTAACTAACCCTCGTAACCCTCGTGAGGGTTACGAGGGTGAGTAACCTTTGTGAGGGTAACTCTCATAACCCTCGTGACCCTCGTGAGGGTAACCCTCGTGAAGGTTACCCTCACGAGGGTTACTAACCCTCGTAACCCTCAAAAGGGTTACCTTCACGAGGGTTACCCTCACGAGGGTTACTAACCCTCGTAACCCTCGTGAGGGTTACAAGGGTAATACTAACCCTCGTAACCCTCGTGAGGGTTACAAGGGTAAGTAACCCTCGTAAGGGTAACCCTCGTGAAGGTAACCCTTTTGAGGGTAACTAACCCTCGTAACCCTCGTGAGGGTTACGAGGGTAAGTAACCCTCGTGGCCCTCGTGATCCTCGTGAGGGTAACCCTCATGAGATTAACCCTCGTAACCCTCGTAACCCTCACGAGGGTTACGAGGGTTGCGGTTACGCCGACGCCGACGGCGACGCCGCTCAAGCCGGGAACGGGCCCCTAAGAGCTGCGCTCTAAAAGTCGAATTAGAAAAAAAGGGTACATAAACCACAAATAGTCGTTCTGCACTGTTACATTACCTCTGTAACCATTCATCACATCAAATGTTCATTTTTTTCTAGAGTAACTAAGCAAACAGACAAGATTTAAAGCTTCCAAATTAAAAATTAGGTCTTCCATCATATTACGACTTTATGAGCACAATACATATGCACCCGTTTACAAGAGAAAAATAATGGACATGTTTAGTATACTTTACAGAGAAATACGCGCATAGTTCACCATTAGTAAGAAAAACAAAAAAGGAAATATTCCACCCAGTTCATCGAGCAACATGTCTCCTTACCGCTTTGGTGGTGGACGGTTGCGCTCTGAGCGCCTTGGAAGCACTTGCAGAGGGATGTGTCTGGGCATAGCTATGGTCTGGGATGAGTGCGCACTCAGGCGTTTACGATCGAGGCTGCTGCTGCTGCCTGGCCAAGCTTTACTTGTGACTGCAAATTACTGTCCCTTTGACACGTGTCACCTAAAGAAGCCGCGTGCCTCAGGGGCTAGACAGTGTGAACAGCAGTTGACGTCTTCTGTTGATAACATTCGCGGTTGACCTCGGGAGCATCTGCGAGTTTGCAGGCATTCCACACTTGACCATTCTCCATACGGACCGTGGACCGTCAAACACACTTCACAATACGTAAAGGTGGACAAAGGGTCGACTCTCCCACGGGTACCTTTCTGAGTTTCTTCAATGCAATCCAGTCGTTAACCCGAAGTCTGGGGAGGGGGGGCTTCGCTGCTAGACGCCGGTCTGCGGGCTCCTTTCTGTGTTGTTGCCTCTGTTGCACTCGATGTCGCAGCCACTTCGAAAAAGAGTCCACAAGCGTGATGGCGTAGTGGTATGCTGGCTCTTCTTGATGAAAGGGGCAACAAAGTCAATGTCTATATTAGACACAGATCGATTTTACTAGAGCCTTGTTTGCAGATGGTTTGGTGATAAATTGGCGCTCTTGTCCACGGTGCTGCAGATTTTGCAGGCGCAGACTGCTCTACGCAATTCTGCATTCATACGAAGCCACTAATAAAGTTCACGAAGACTTTCCTGCGTCTTCACGATGCCACCATGACCCTCATGTGCTAGATGGTATACTGGCTCTTCTTGATGAAAGGGGCAACAAAGTCAATGTCTATATTAGACACAGATCGATTTTACTAGAGCCTTGTTTGCCGATGGTTTGGTGATAAATTGGCACTCTTGTCTACGGTGCTGCAGATTTTGCAGGCGCAGACTGCTCTACGCAATTCTGCTTTCATACGAAACCACTAATAAAGTTAACGAAGACTTTCCTGCGTCTTCACGATGCCACTATGACCCTCATGTGCTAGATGGTATACTGGCTCTTGTTGATGAAAGGGGCAACAAAGTAAATGTCTATTAGACACAGATCGATTTTACTAGAGCCTTGTTTGCAGATAGTTTGGTGATAAATTGGCACTCTTGTCCACGGTGCTGCAGATTTTGCAGGCGCAGACTGCTCTACGCAATTCTGCATTCATACGAAGCCACTAATAAAGTTCACGAAGACTTGCCTGCGTCTTCACGATGCCACTATGACCCTCATGTGCTAGAGAAATAAGGGCGTATCGCATAGTCATGGGAATGACAACTTTTGTACCACGAAGCAAGAGCCCGTCGTTGACCGAGATTGCATCTCTCAGGTCGTAGAAGAGCAGTATCAAAAGAAACAATGCTAACCGGTGGCCACTGTGAGGTTACATATCCCATGACGGCGATGAGTAGCGCGTCATTTGCAGTCTCCTCTTGCAGGTGTTGCATTGAGATGCACTTGTCTTCTGCAGCGAAAAAAGAGTCTTGGGTTGCCAAAGGCATGGTAGCGCTTTTTTGGACGAGGACAAAAGAAAGAAAGACAAGACAGACACGAGCGCTGACTGCAACTATTTAATCAACATGGAAATGAGGCATATATACACGCTTCGATCCTATCAATCAACCAACCCCAGGCCTAGCCGCCACCTGCATGAACTGCACTTCCTTATCGAAAAAGTCGATAGATGCAACGCTGACACACCCCAGCCCTGCCCAGCCCTGCCTGTGTCAGCGTTGCATCTATCGACCTTTTCGATAAGGAAGTGCAGTTCATGCAGGTGGCGGCTAGGCCTGGGGTTGGTTGATTGATAGGATCGAAGCGTGTATATATGCCTCATTTCCATGTTGATTAAATAGTTGCAGTCAGCGCTCGTGTCTGTCTTGTCTTTCTTTCTTTTGTCCTCGTCCAAAAAAGCGCTACCATGCCTTTGGCAACCCAAGACCAATACCAACTAGCCCAACATACAGCTTTGAAAAAAGAGTCAATCTCCTCAACCTCATGGTACGGACAGCGCTTCTACAAACGCATGAACAATGCCCCCGACGGCCGCGGTTGTCGCAGTGACGACATCTGGCTGGGCGGACGCCGTAGCCTTTGCAGCGATCTTGATCGTAACTGCGGTTGACACATGCTCCTCCGTAGCAGTAGTTCCGCCTTGGAGATGGTTGTCGCTGCGGTGATTCGAAACGCACCGAACGCCGAAATACCGATCGTGCAGGGTTCTCTTGAGAACTGCGACTGTCAAAACCACCATCGCCACTGCGGCCACAGGTTACGCAGCTCTGCTGGCAAGGCAAGCGCGAAGCGCGTGCGGTCCCTGACCTGGCTTATGAACGCAGCATCGGAGATCGCGCAGGTGACTTACGGCGCTAGCGCCACGGTTTGTGCGTGGATGACGTCATCGGTGGAGAATGAAGGCAACGTTGGTTGAAGGCACGCTGGTTAACTCTGTGCGGATGACCACCATGTTTCTCTTTCACGATCTGTCACATGGCTTAATTATCACGTCCTTTCCCGACGCCGTCGACGACGCAGTTATGGTCGCCATGGCCCACTCGCGAACTTCACTGCGCGCGCGTTCCATACTGATCACTGTCTGCAAGACGACACTGAAGGGAAGCGCGGCGGGCGTCTAGAAGAAGACGTTCTTCGATCTTTGTGGTAGCAGCCCCCACCATAAACTGTCGTCGAATGGCGACCTTGTTGTCGGCGCCGAAGTTCGCCATCGCGGCTAATGCCTGGACGGCTGAAAGAAATTCGCGCAGGGTTCCTCCTTGTTGTTTCCTCACGTGGAATCGAAGTTGTTGCAGGGTCTCGTTGAGTGGCTGTGAAAATTATGCCTCGAGGACCCTGATGGCCTCGTGGCACTCGTCGCGAGACACTGTCAAGCGTGCTGATCACCTCCCGTTGGTGACGTTGCTTGCACCGGTTCGACGGAAGCTAGTAGGGAGTGGTAGACGCGCTGTGCTTCCTTCCATGCAGTTGAGTAGGTTTGCCTGGCCTCCTTCGGCTAAATATTCCTGGGCGCCGCTATCCAAGATGTACATACCTTTCAAACATCAGCAGCCAGGATTTCCACGGTATCGGCGGCAAACCGGCCTTGACTAGGAAGTTCGGTAGCGGCCTGTCACAGTTAGCCAAGCTTGCGGTTAAGATGGCGGCTCAGCAATCCAGAAAGACGTTCGAATTTGAACGCGCGGGCATCGACAAGCAGCAGCCCAGATTCCTTGTTGAACCCGGGATTCACTGGAAGCAGACGTCGTCACGACGCCAGGCGCCCGCCGGCGAGAGCTGATGCCGAACGATGCATACGTGGCCTCAGGGAGTGAGCAGGCCGGTTCAGCTTCCTCGTCGCCAAAACTATGGAGTCGGCCTTGGCAGCAACCAGCCGAGTCGGAGTTACATTGCAAACTGTTTAAATGGGCTGTGCAACGACATTCGGTAGGAATACTTCTTACTTTGCACCAGCTTCCTTGCACTAGTGGGACCCAAGAATACTCGAACGCAACATCACTGACCAAGAAGCGTCTTCGTCGCGGCGGAATTCAAAGGATGAAAGCGGAGCTTTTCTTTCAGTCTCTCCTTCCAAAGCAGCCTTTTGCTCCTGCGCGAAATTTGATGACGGAGCTGTGGGGACAATGGCAACAGTGCGATCACCGGAAATGCGTCATTGAGCTTTGCGGTGACGATATTCAAATGCTGCTCACACAGTGGACGCGAAGACTGCGTATGCATTCGGGTAGTGGCCTGTGTTCAATCGCTGCAACTACGACAATAGCCGAGCCATAACAATGTCTGGAACTCGGCGCGTGTCCTGTGCTTCGCCAACCCCAGCGCGTGGATATCATCAACATTGGCGGCATATAATCGGCTCCAGTTCACGTGGCCGCTTGTTCTGGCTGCGAGTTGAGGGGGCGAACGGTGCTCGTTTTTCTTCAATTTTTTTTTTCTGGAACTTCTATTACGTGGGGTGAAAAACCGAACACTTGTTTCATAGGTCATTAACGTCAGGGATCCGTTTTAAGCGATATTTGCGCAAAGTACAAAAATTGTTGCATCGCTCCTTTAATTTTCGAAGGAATATTTTAATTTTTTATTTCACTTTTAATTTTTGAAGGAATAACAAGAAGAAGAAAAGAAAATTAAATCGAAACTGAACCGAACATAACACCGACCATGTCAAAGTGACGTACGATCGGCAGTTTATATATGCGGCGGGAAGCACGGTGACATAGGTTAACCGCGCCATGTTGTTTGAATACCAGGTTGGAAACCTTCACTTTGGGCCACCTTAGAACGGAGGACCATGGAAATCCCCCGAAGGAGCAAGGACGCGAATTTTTGCTTCCTCATTGGTTTCTCAAGTCTGTCATCAGGGCTGCCTTGGCTCGTTGTGCATTTTTCGATGACGTCACCAAAAGACACGTTTCCACACTTACCCATCAACGCAGTGTGCCGCCGTCACGACGTATTGCTCGCTGATGATGGAACCGCCGCAGGTGTGGCCCCGATCTGTATTTATCAGGGGAAGTTTTCGGCGCAGAGATATCTGCCAGGGGAACTCAATCCGCTCGGCGTCTTTGCCGCCCACAATCCGGTGCACACCTCGTCTCTTTGCACCAGAAGCGGCGTCCCCGTTGGTCTCGGTTCCTCCAGCATTGCCAGCTTCGCTGCTACTGGGTCCCCGAACTCCACATCCTGCCAGAAGTAGAAGGAATGTATAGTCACTGACGAGGGGGAACGGTAGGGACAAGCCTCAGTTGTCTCGCCTTCAGCGAGTGCTTCATTCGACGACGCTTCGGCGCCTAATGTACCTCGAGCGCGTGCGCGCAACCGGAACTCGGCGGATGCAGAATTGCACGATTTTCATGAAAAGTAATTTAATTAAGAGGAATCTCGCTAATTTGAAGCATAGGGGGATCAGAACTTTGTTTGAATAATGCAAAGTTTGAATTCACGGGAGTTTCTTTCCGAGAAACACATAGGATGGGACCTGCGTGTTAGTTTGAATTATCCACAAGTTTGATCTAAAAGGTTTGAATTAACGAGATTCCATTGAACTTGTAATCGATAACTTTTTAGAGTAATTTTGTAATTATGAATACATTTGTTAGGAAGTAATCACCAGAGTTTACTTTTGGAAGTACTAAATTACTTATAACCGTTAGTATTTTTTTGCCATTCTTTTTTAATTGCGCCCTTCCTTTCAACACGTTTCCTAAAAAGGAATCCTTGAACCGAGTCTCCAACAGGTGGATGGTTTATCAAAATCGGTCGATTAAGAATATAAGTAGTTTATAATTCGGTGATTGTAGTCGAATATTGGATAGTGTAAATGACCCGTTTTGAGACGGGCAGATATATCTGTCTTTTTGAAAATCTGAAGTAATCAGAAAAGTAGTGTTTACCTTATCGTGCACCGTCCAAATCTTCTAAAGCAATCAAGTGATATGATTGAATACTTTTTTCCGAGAGTAATTGTAACTGTAATTGATTACTTCTTTTTGTAACCTTACGCTACTGGGTAATTGTAATCGACTGCGTTACTGGGCAGAATGCGTGCTGGAGACCGTTCTTTCGAACCATCTTTAGGTTTGAACGCCACGCTATGCCGTTCTTGCTCTGTCGGTGACAAGAGTAAACAGTAAATAATACTCCGAGTTCCGAGTTCACACGACCGTAGATTCTTTTCAAAGCCACATCGAGTAACGTCGGCAGTTGCCATTGTTTCGGCAGGAGGCCTGCGATTGTATACGAGTCTTCACCGAATGCTGGCGCTCGGACAAGGTGATTCAATTCTCAACGGCGTGTACGCTGACGCAACCCTCGTTTTTAATACATGCTCAGAGTACATTATCAAAGTGTGACGAATGAGAATAATTAGCGCAGAAGCTACTAGGCGATGCGCATATGTGAAAATCGGTCTATTCAGTGTCACAGGCTGACTGTTTAAGGTATTGATTGATTGTCTTAGCTATGGTAGCATAACTTACGGCTGAAACCGGCTGATACGCCTGGTGACGGGCTGTGCTAGCTGGTTGTAATAGCATTATTTACTTTTACGTAATGCTCTTCAAGCAGGGACGGCGCCGGGATTCTCCTAGTGGCGAGGCAGTGAGGAGACACAACATTTTCAGGGAGTCGTGGACTTTAGATACATTTGTGTCTGGAAAGCGGTGATAATTGAAGGAAGGCAATGACTGGGTAGACACGTGGTCGCTCTCAGCGAGCATAATGGCTGAAGATTATACATCGTGTTATGAAGGCATACAATAAAAAGTGTAGAAAGAGTGGCGTTGGAAGCTTTTTGGTGGCGGGCTGAAAGTTATGGACGCGGTACTTATGGGTCGGGAAAAGATGCCTTGACTCCCTGGACGAGGAGTGTCACTGCTATACACCGTTTCACCTTATGTTGTACCGCAGCGAAGGCTAGAAGCGCGAGCTCATAGCGTTGGCAGCTGTCCTTGGTTCACGGGAGCTTGTGCCGCCGAGATGTGCCCTAGAGCAAGGAGCTCGCGCATGTAGCCTTTCCTACGGTACAACACAAGGTGAAGCAGAGTATAGCTATCACAGAGACATCTGTCGATATAGACATCTGTTGATAGAGACATCTGTCGAATATGGTCTGCCCATAGTGCCACTGACAAATGATGCCTCTCACTAGTGTCATGAGTTCGTAGTCTGCTGCCTTTGTGAATCATGTTTTTAAGTTGCATGAAGTCGCAAACACAGCAATTTCGTTTTTCTGTGCGTTAACAGTTGAAATGACAGAAATATATAAAGGACAGAGTTTGAAGAGTCACTCTACTCCAAGCATGACAATCTGGGGGACCAGTCTGAAGGTCCTGCAATCACACCCATGTTTTAGTAGAAGTACAGGGCTGCGTTTGAAATCATAAGCCGTTCTGGCTACATCACGCACTGAGGTATGTATCTTTATTTCAGGAGGTAGGGTCTTGAGTTTGTTGTTCCATCATCGCTGTCATAGACTCGCCACGTTCTTCTTTTCCGACGCTTATGTTGGTGAACCACTCGATATGACGTGAAGTAACATTTTCTTTAACTTTTCGTTTCGTGCTTTGCTGTTGAAAAGAGACGTTAATCGGAGCATTGCACGTCAAAACATACCCTAGCGAATGCTTCGGGTTCTCTTGACTTTTCAACTGAGCGTACGGAACCAAGGTGCTGGCATCAGGCAACCGCCCAAAATTTCTCCCACTTTCCTGGCTAAAACTGCTGAAGGTTGTCTGCTAATGATACTAAGATCAAAAAGTCAAAGAATGATGCCTACACTAAGCGACCGGCCTTAGGCTGGCCTTGCACAGAAAGAGGGAATTTTCCTTCCTCCCGCGGTCGCCTTTCACTATTTTTCAGCTTTTCCTTTTTTTGTTCCTGCTTTCCTTTATGCACGAAGCTTTCGGCCCACAGGCTCAGCACGCTTCATCTTTCCCAAAATTTTGTTAGAAATAGAGAGAACGTGCCGCTTCGGGATGAACACTCGCACAACCAGCACCTACCACCACCAGCTGACAGATCATTTTCCCTGTCAACTGAAAGGAGACTCCTCTGAAAGACGATCCGAACTTTTCGTGTCGCCCGGCCTTGGCTTGCCTAGAGGCTACTTTCGTGCTTGAGCGCGCTACCGAGGAGAATTCTGCCCTCGAACGTGGTGGATCGTTTGTGTGCTTATCGCAGCGAAAATCCTGTAAAAAATAAATAAGGAAACTTTCGATATGAAGGGGTCTCAAACCGATTATGTTGTTTATCCAATGCTCGTTTATATATATATTTTTTTTTTTCTTCAAAAATGTTAGTTTAACGCTGTGGAATGTATGTGATCGAACATCGTTCTGGGCAGGCACTCAACGGCAACAAACGGCGCTAACGTAAAAACAAAAATAAAGGAAGATTTTTTGGCACAGATTTTAGTTGCCAGTCCAGATGTCCGTTATTTTTGTGATTCCGGTGTTTCGGGAGTCGGAACAGCAACATGTAATCGCCGTTTTTATTTTTTTTTATTTTACAAGCGAGCAGATATTTATACGCTGAACGTCCTACCGCTAACTCGCGCACACAATAGGAATCACGGACAGCTGGCCTTCACCCCCGTGTAAAGAGTTTACGTAAACGTCCAGGTGGAATGGATACGATGGGCAACATATAGTTACAGCTGGCAGTCGTCGCTCGTTACGTGGTAGGGCGCCATTGAGCCGCCGATCTTGGTCGGCGGTGTTCTCGTTTGATCCCGTTGTATCCGAGAAGTTTGTATCATATCCTTTGGGATCTCGCAGACCTGTACGTAACGCGTTACGAGCAACGCCATTGTTTATCACTTCATACTTCTTTTCCTTCGAAAGAGTTCAACGTCTCTTTTTTTCTTTTCCTTTCTCGGGTACAGGAACAATAAAGATATTTTGGTCATTGTCTGATAGAGTAACAGCTGGCATCCATAACTTTGTAAATTTTTGTTTCTTTCTGGGAGACGGCGATGACCTAAGAAACGCGCGCAGGGAGTGGCACACGATGTTCACGCCTCTTGCTACGTGATTGGTTCTTTCAATTCCCTCTCGGCTGATGCTGGAATCTCATTGGCCGCGGAGCTTGGGGCCTCGTCAGCTGGGATGGCCGGGTACTCGCCATACCCTGCGCTTTTTAGACTCTCAACGACTACAGCGTTGACTTGAAAGGGATACTCCGGAATTTTCTTCATAGTTCCCGATGTGCCTGAAGATTTGGCTAAATACAAAGACAGACAACGCTGAAAACGTAACCCAAATATTGGGCCATAATATTTTTTTTGCGCAGTTATTTAATTCACAACTTTAATCCCCACCGCGTCTTCTTTCAAAATTTTTTTTTCAAAGTGACAGTTTTTGCTGGCAACAATGAAAAAAACAATGTCAGCGGGAGGCAGGGTTCACGCTTGGGACTGTATGCGGACCGCAAGTTTGTCTGCTTCTTGCACAGGGGTTGCGATAATGTCAGAACGCCGAGAAAGCTTGCGCTGCAGAACCCAGGGATCCTGGGTTCGAGCCCCACCCCTGCCCGTTTCGATCTGGATGAGCATCGTACCGGCGTGCGGTCGTGTATCACTACTGCGTGGTGCACGTTAAAGACCCCAGGCTAGCGGTTGTACCGCACTGGCTAAATTTGTCATCTACAGCTGGGAGACTCGTCGCCCCTGTGAGGCAGACCAAGTTCTAGGCTGTATAAACACACACACAACCCAATTTTTTTTTTTTTTCAGAACGCCGAGGTCTTATTAGCTGATTGAAAGAATAGTGGGTAGACCTCAAGCCCTTCAGCATTGAGGTCTAACCCACTATCGTTTTATTAAAAGCCAATCCTAGCGGGGCGTCGTTCTGACGTCAAGGAGCTCCTGTATAAGAAGCAGACGAATTGCTCCCCGCATAGACTTTGTTCCCAACTGATTACGGGCAGTTTCATGTGGTGTCAAATGAATGCCTTGGAAGTTGGCTCCAACGCAGCAGCACGAAAACGAATGCTCGGCATAGTCCATTTTTAGACTGCAGGCTTGACCTGCAAGCCTGGACGCCATGACGCTGAAAACCGCGGGTATATTTGAATTTTGGGTTCGGCATAATTTTTCACTTGCCAATTTCGCAAGAAGCATTTTGAATTTCGCGATACTAAATAGACCTATTGCTATATTACCCAAGCATCAAGGAGAATGCAGG